AACACAGTGGCGAATGTTCTGGAGCATTTCAGCCAATGGATTCTCCAGCACACTGGCTTTGATGCGGACAAACGCCGTCTAAACCTGTGCCTGCGGTTGAGCGGTGCTTTTGGCGGGTGGCTCTTCATACACCTCCTGCTGAGCAAGAGCCCACAGGTTTTCGTTTGAAACGGGATCGCGACTTTTTCCAAGTCATAAGCGTTAGCCCAGAATGATTGAAGGTTCTATCGGCATCACTTCCCGTTCTTTTAGGGACTTAAAAGTAGCGCGCCCGCCGCCGCCCCGCATGAAGGTATATAGGGCCTTGGCATGAAGACAGCGTGGCTTGAATCAGGCATCAGTGCGCGTTCAAAAACCGTGCCCTCCTATGCCGTCTGGTTGAGCGCCTCCAATCATTCATTGGCCAGTATGTTGCTCCGGTAATACTTGACGTTGATGGCGGTATTATGTGACACTATATCCAATTGGAGCATTGCTAGGCAGCTGAGATGCTTCAATCTGGATATTACCCGGATGTTTGACGGCGGCGAAGGCCAGTAAGTTCGAGCGGCTGGCCGCCCATTACCCATACATGGCCGATTTGACGGTTCAAAGGATAATACAGCTCAAACGGCTACCCATCCAACCAGACCCTCACCGTTATCTTTCTTCGACCAGTGGACGCGATCTGAAGTGAGGCGAAAGGTGGTGAACTGGTTGTTTTCCCGTCAGTGTAAGTTTCGTTGTCTTTTCCAGTTTGAAGGGCACTAGAACCAAGTTAAAGGGCGGGTAGCGGTGAACCATGATATGGGACCTCTTATTATCTGACTTGGTAAGAATTCGAGTCAATTTGCGGATTGATTGGTGCCGTTTCCTTGCCGCTATCTTGATGACTCTCCTCACCACTTGAAAAAGGGCGGCTTTTGTGGTCGCGACCGGGCTGAGTCTGCCACCGAAGTCCCAGCTTATTACGCCTCAGGCAGATGTGCAATTGGCTGCTGCTGATGTCCAGCTGCTGGCAGACCAGCTTCTGGCTCATGACGCCGTGGATGCCGCCATGCAATTTTACCACGAAAGGAGAGATTGTATCCCCTTCTCGCAACTGCCTTAGACGAAAACTACCATGTGAACCCGTCTGTGAATCGACTCCTACTCAGAGCAAGAGTCACATGACAAGGTCAGGTCACTGCTGAGTTGAAAGCCGATAGCAGAGGCACGTATTCATCCAATAGGTATTCCCACTTCTAACATCAGAAAGGATTAGGAAACTGTGCAGACAGATATGGCGAAAAAATGGATGTCCGGATAATTTCGTTACACCCTGTACCTAAGTAGTTTTGGTGCCTTCGTAACATGTTACGAAGCTGTCAGAGAAAAAATTAACGTTCTGCCCCTCCAAATTTTGCTGATTTGTAGAACTTCATTGCTTAGCAAACCAATCTTGTTCGCATTGAGGAGCTTTGAAATGTCTGTGTAATTCATAATGTTCGTTCTGTAATTAAAAAAATTGATTCAGTGTTGCACATTATCTAACTTAACAACTGGGCATCGCAGGTTTGACGGCTTTTGCTCCACCACCTTCCCTGGAAAAGCTCCACCCTTGCCTATGGGGCAAAACATAAGGGAAAAAACACAAAACAAGACAGATAAAAAACAAAGCAAAATTAACTCTTAACCTAATTACATTCAGGCTGGAGCAAAAACATAGGTAATAGGTTTCTATGTCAAATTAAAATGAAAGCATAAAATCAACCTGACCAGGCCTTATGGTCTGACCTGGCCCTAACCACCTTACTTCGCCTAACTTAACCCAATTCAACCTAGCCTAGTCCTACCACAACACCTGCAGAGGTACCTTCCTGGAAAAATGACGCCCAGGGAGATGACTGTCCAACTATTGGAATACTACCATGATTGCTTGTCATCATGCTCTTGTTTGACTAGTGATGTATGATAAATGTGATATTCAATAATTGTCTCCTGGCTGTTGACTGGAGTGATCAAAATATTCAAATAATCAGGGTACAATGCTGTGCATAGTGCACACTAATCATGTTGTTTTTGTGTAGGCCCACATTGTTGTGTGCACTACTATGTGCACCTTAAGTAAAAAAGTGACTGGTGGTACTGGGTACATGACAAAAGGTTGTGCACCTGTGAAATGCCCTTAGTCTTGCTGGTGCCAAATGCCTATAGCTATAGCAGGATCAGTGAGGGTTGTAGACATGCTACATACATTGTGCATTGAAGATATTGGCACAAAGTTCATCCGTAATTACTATGCTTAACACCTAATGTAAGAAGCAACATAAATGTCCAGATGATAAAGCTCTCTGGTCAACATCACACAAATTTATTGACATAGTTTGCAGGTACATATTTACATTCATAGCAAATACTTTCAATATGATTCAGAGACTAGGTGTTAGTAAGCTTGCATTTTTGTAGGTACAACAATGAACATATATTTTATCATAAAAAACCTTCTCATGGCATTCATTACATACCTTTTTACTGAACAAGTACCTACCTATCTACCATGCAATGATTCTAAATTTTGTCCGCAATCCATCTATATCTCAAACTGACACAATTAATTTGAAATATCCTTTAACAAAACCTATAACTGTACATAAGAAGAATGCAATATTACAAGAACTATGAATTTCTGAAGTTATTCTCCCATGCTGGAATGTTGAAACCAGGGATGCGGAGCCGTGGAAATTTCAGACGGCTCCGGCTCCGGCTCCGGCTCCGGAGAAAAAAATCGGCTCCGGCTCCGGCTCCGGCTCCGGGTGAAATGTTATGGCGGCTCCGGCTCCGGCTCCGGCTCCGAGTAAAATGGTCCGGCTCCGGCGGCTCCGGCTCCGACTCAGTACATCCCCTATGCAATCAATTAAATACGGGTGGAAGAAAAATTGGATTGGTTATACGCGTTACTCTTTGCCATGACCGGCTCATGACCGCGTCCCCGCGCAAACGCACCTCGGAGAGAACTGGCAGAACAAAGGACTAGGAAGCGATGGCATTGGAAACGCAGTCGCCGCGAATCGGAGTTCACTGAACCATCGTAAGCTGACACCCGTCTCGGCAGAGACGGTGCTGGGAGTCGCAGTCCACTGCACTGGCTTGAAAACAATGGCCGTCACCTGATGACCGGTCCTCATGTTCTGGGGATGCAGTAGACGTGGGGGGGGGGGGGGGGAGGAGCAGACAGGAAGTTGATTGCGTACTGTGGGATACTGGGGATATTCGGCTTTTTTCATTCACTTGATGGCCCATGACGTAAGTACATACCATATGTTTCACTGCCTTGTACTGTCAAACCGAACTAGGTCAATTATTTTTTTCCTCTTCAAAAAATAAAAAGGAGCCGGAGTCGCCCCCTTTTTTGGCGGCTCCGGCTCCGGCTCCGGCTCCGGTCTATATTGTTTCACGGCTCCGGCTCCGGCTCCGGCTCTGGGCAAAATATGCCGGCTCCGGCGGCTCCGGCTCCGGCTCCGACTCCGGCTCCGGCTCCGCATCCCTGGTTGAAACTCTACTTTTGTCATCCATTTCCACGTTTGATTGAGCCATCATATAGAACTGTTTTCACTCTTCAGTCACAAGCTTTCGCACAAATCTTGAATTTTTACACATCATCTTGAACCATGCTCCAGTCTTTCCAACAAGGTACTATGTAACATCAAAGCAATTTTGATTTGTTACAACAGCTTCAGATGATGATGGGCTTGAGGTTTGTTACACCATTTGCTAGACAAACCTCTACAAAATGTGTATCAATTCCCAAACTAAGTAATTGATCATATTAGTATTTGCAGTTTCCACACAATGTTTCATAATATTATTCTATGTTTATATAAAGAAACTCAAATAATCCACAAATTGTTATTGAAACACTCCCACTTCAAGAATTCACAGCAATTTCAGAAGCAAACAAACATTGCGCCAGATTTCGTATGAAACGCGCCATCACCCTGAAGTTTCTACCACAGACGGTAGTTCAACCGCAGCCGTAGTGCGAAAACCCCTGCCCACCTTACCCCACGGCGGAGCTCGGTTGCAATTTGTAAATACGCGTTGTGTTCTAAGTCTGTCGCTTACGATTGCAAGCGGACAAATCAAACGACCCTAGTATGAATAAAATCATCGCAATGCTTGGCATATTTGGCATTTTAAGCTCAATATATTCATAGAAGAATGAAAAAACTATTTTATTTGCAAACAATTACAAAGACTATGTTAAAAATAATGAAATAAAGGTGAGAAGCTGTTCATGGATAGCATCAATCATAGATACAGAACATAAAAGCTTCACTTTTCTTTCGCCCACAAATGCAACTGCTGCGTGATTTTTGTCACAAAAGTTACACTAATTTGCAGCAGGACGTAAGGAAATCAGATTCCATGTAGTCAAAGCGAAATATAAATTCAAACTTCTGATGAATTTTAATGGTTTATGGTGGTAGTAACAAATAACTATTAATAGCTTGAACAAATGATTGTTAAATCCTTTCGTCACTGTTCTTTTCGGGAGCATCATATTTTACTCATAAGTAATAAGTACTCTCAGCCAGTGGCTCAGCCTCAGCTTCAGAAAGGTGAGCCAATGCTGTTGCATGGCTGTTGCTCTACTACTATAAACAGCAGTGACCAATAATGACCACAGACCATGCCTACATACAGAAGTCTTTTTTTTTCTATGGCAGTGACAGTATGACAGTGAGTTTTCTATGGCAGTGACAGCAGCAGTGACAGCCACTCTAATGTCAGTTTCTCGGAACTCGCCACCCCCCCCCCCCCTCCCCGACTCTAAACTCTAAAGTCTACACCCAGGCCAAGAGAGGGACTAGTATCCCACCATCACACCCCGTCGGCACGTTTGCGGTTTGGAGTCACCTAGTGTGCCAGCCGCCAGGAGCGGTCACTGGATGCGCTGTGGGCGGATCTAGGGGGTCATGTCTGGCCCAGCGCCTCGGGGGAGGGGCGGCCGGAAATAGAACTGCTCGGCTGTCAGTCGGAGTAGGTCGTCGCGTGCCCGGCCTGGAGCTCCGGCCGGTCGAGAGGCGCAGTGAGTCGAGTGAAGCTCCCGCTGGTGGACCCCAGGGACCTCCGATAGACTGAACCTGACGGCCGAGGCGGTTATTTCATGGCACAAACAGCGGAGTTGGAAACTCAGCGGAGGAGTGGAACACCGAGGGGCAGTTCGGCACCCACCAAGTGAGATTTTAACCCGGCAGTTGCTGGGGTATTTCGCCACCCGCCGTTTGCTGGGGAGGGGCGTTAAACGCCCCCAGCCGATAACTCGAGAACCAAAAGGCGCAGCGAAACGCACGAGGCAGCAAACGAAAGAACGCGACGAGACGCTTCAGATGAGTACTTTAAAGTTGAATTTTGAGGTCACAGGTCGGGTCAAGGTCAGGTCAAACACCTGAAATCGGGCTTTCAGTAGCATGACTTCAGGACTTCGCAATGGGCGCCTCTCGTCATAAACTCTGTCAAAACGGTGCACAATCCATCATATAAGGCCTACAAGAGTGTCAGCTCCATGTAGGGGTCAGTCAAGCATAGGTCAGGGTCAAGGTCAGGTCAACCGGGTAGGCACATATCCCCGAAAATCAAAACTGATATTCGCAGCCTGTGACACATGTTTTATGGGTAATTTGGGGCGTAGAACACGATGATGACATTCATTTTATCATATATCTACGTGTTTGGCTCAAAAAGTTCAATTTAAGAAATGCATGTATCATGGTCGTGAAGTAGTCACGAGAAAGTTCCAAGATTCAGTTCAAGATTTTGGAAAATGCGGAACGATAATCAATAATCGAAGATAGCCATTTGATTGTTCATGGTATTGACAGTCTAATGGCGTTTACGGCATGACTGTATGTCTATTCTGTGATTTTATATGATTTTTTGAACATATACCGTTTTTGGTCGAAAACTCAGAAATCATGACGTCACTAAAACCTCGATATCTCAAAAAAATTCCGATCGATTTTTTTGAAACTTTGTCAAAATAAACTTCAATCGATTCCCTACAGGTACCCAAAATTTGGCGCGCCTGCGGCGCGCCGTTTTTATGCTATGGCCCGGCAAAAAAAGTGGGGGCGTTTAACGCCCCCCCCCCCCAGCAACTCGCGGGTTAAGGTGGATAGGACAGCGGTTAAACGCAGGCCTTTGTCAGTCCCGGCTCCTTTTTGACCACCACCGAATGGTCCGTTTCCGAGTCTCCGTATTTGCCATCTCCGAGTTTCCGGACTGACGGCGTGTCCCGGTTTCCGGAATTCTTGTTCCCGACTATTTCTTCAGGCTTCACGACTATCGGTTGACGTTCCTAAGTTCCGTGGCGTCCCCGTCTGTCCCCGGGTATCCAGACCACCCGTTGCCAAGTTCGGGCAACCAAGGAGGTCGTAAAAGTCACAGATCAAGATGACCATGACCGCTACCGATACATTCTCGGAACTGTTCTGTCTCACAAGGAGTCTAACAAGGGAATACCTAGATGCGGTCCCCTCTTCTTGGAGACTTGCCTCAGTCGACAGATGACACGGTGTTAGTGACGCCGAGTCCAGTCGTCGTGCATAGCGTTATTCAGATTAGTCGCCCGGTCACAGCGAGCGTAGCCCGCGTCTGTGCAAGGCGAGGCGCGAGACTTCGCATCACTTCGTCACCGATTCGTCTGCACCTTATTGGAACCGAAAACGTTGTGTGACACAGGATATAGAACAGCTGTGACAGACCTAACCTCAGTTAACTAAAATAAGATAAATTCGTAACAAGGAAGTATATCTCAATACTTAGGCTATATTCTCCAAAAGAGGCACTTTCGTTGCGCAACATTGTAGGCATAAAGTAAGATTCCCGCTATACAAACGTTGGTCCGCCGCGCAGCTCTGGAATATTCAGCCCACATTCAGCCGAGTGCCTTCTGCACTCTGCAGGGAGCATCTTCATCTGAAATTTCCGTCATGAATCATGATGGCTGGTGGGAACTATTTATAGTAAAGCAATCTTGGTGGGGACTAGGCCGAGCCCATAGACGTAAAAAACGACGAAAAGACGAGGATCTTCAATCCATAGATCTTAACGCTCATTATTTTCTTCATTATTTGCTTCGTAGTCCAGTTGCGGGGATAGTTTACTAGTGGTAATAAATAAAAACGCAATTGGAGTCTACCAAGACAAATGGTGCAATTGATAAGCGCGAGGGGCAGCATGAACATTTTTTAAACATTCTGAGCGATTTTTTTTTGCATTTGGTAGGCCAGGTAGGTAACCAAAAACACTAACATTATGCACTCCTATTGGCTATAAGTTTCACATTGAAAGGAATTGCGTATCTTTTGGTCACACTTTGTAAATGAATGACGATGAATGTCCAGCTATACACAATACACACATTCTATTGGACCGGCACCGCGTGTCGGTCACACGCGGCGTGTGACCGGGTCGCAGGCCATGGGCGGTGCTCTGTAAACCAGCCGCGAAAAACACAGACCGCACCGGTAATCTGTGGTCCTGTCCGGTCCGAACTTCCGCCGCCCGCGTGTCGTTTCCGCTACAATTGCGCACATATCAGCACAACTCTCCATCCATGGTCGGTAATTTATTTCCACTGGTCGAAACTTAGGATCGGTTCCGAATTTCGACATGACAGAGACAGAGATAGATATTTAGGTAACGGAGCTCAGATGACAGTTTTATTGTATCAGTGTTTCTCTGTAACTCATTCAGTGTGTTTCGCCTCGGCGGCTTTCTTTCTTGCTGACTGAACGAAGTGAATAATAAATAACGATGCTTGACGGATATGTCACATTTCGTGTAAGAATACTGTTGAGCACCTTTCATGTCACAGCCTACAACACATGGGCGGGAAGTGTTTTGCCGAAGCGGTCATATGCGTGTCAATGGACCGTACTCACTTTTGTAACCGACATCAAGAGGAGCACAACTTTTTGTCGGTGGCGTTAACCCTCGCCCCGTTGGGGGGGGGGCCATTTTGGCCCCCCCTGTGGTTTTTCCTGAATAGCAAGAAAACGGCGGCGCGCAGCGCCGCCAAATTTTCAGTACCTTTCCGGGCATCAATTTGACACCTTCACACCAAATTTCAAGTCTTAGGTCACCTTAGGTCAGGAGTTATTGAGGTCAAACTGAGGTCATGTTCGAGCAAAAATGAGCAAAAAACATGCAATCTTGAAACGCTCACCAAATCTACAGTTATCAAGCAATTTCAAAGTTCTTTATATGGTCTAATAGACAAAAAGCGGCGCTACAAAACTGCTATCTCGGATTTTCAAAATTTTGGGTTTTTGACCCAAAATTTTTTTCAAAAAATTGATTTTTTTAGAAAAACTAAAAAAAAAAATCCAAAATTTTTCCGAATTTCGAAAAAAACCGGAATATATGTGATAGTCCCTGCGCTCTTCTACATACATACCAAATTTCAGATCGATATCTCGTTTTTTGGCAAAGTTATAGCGAAAAAACTGTTCAAAAATGATGACGTCAAATTTTTGAACTCAATTTTTAGCGATTCTAGACCTCGTACGGCAAAACAAAGACCACCATTGAACTCCCCGTGACGAGCTGCATCGATTCGATACCCATTTTATGCAAAAATATCAACTTTGAAATTTGACCTTATTTGACCTGACCTTGACCTGACCTTGACCAAAACGTGACCTAAGCTGGCCCCAAAGGCTGCCTGACCCACATAATCGCATTTGTCATGTAAAATGGACCATAAAACATGTATCACACGACACTTTCATATTGTGACCCCCCAGTGACCTGACCTCAGTGACCTGACCTGGTATCAGTGACCTCAACTAGCAAAATATGTGTTTGAAGAACATTTCCCCATCGATGATTTTCAATGAAATGCATTTTACTCGATTTTACAACGCATTTCTTGAAATGCCTGTAAACGGTGAAAATTGGACCTTTGACCTGACCTGTGACGTCATCGGTTTGACCTAGGTCAATGAAATTGGGTCACAAGGTAGTTCCCTGTTAGGGCTATCCAACACCGTTTGCCGCTTGTCGCTACGTTGCGTGGTTCTCGAGATCTTAGGGGGGGGGGGCCAAAATGGCCCCCCAACGGGGCGCGTTGCTCGGCAGAGCCCAACGGGGCGCGGGTTAAAGCATGACACAAAGCCATTGCGCTAATTCCAACGAGCGATGGTCGGCCAAACTTTCAGACTGACTGGTCCGCTGGCTTTTGAGCCGATGGAGCACTCAGTTTCACATTCTGGCAAGCGGTGAACGTTCCCCGTAATTATTCTGGAAATGTGGTTACTGACCCGAACGGCCTATCGATCGAGTTACGTTATGGGCAACCCCACCCTCTCAATTGCTGCCACTCGGGACGCATTGACCACACAAACTTCGCCTGCCTGGCCCCTGCCACCCCTCTCTTCGCCCTTCCACTCCCCCCCCCCCACACACACACGCGCGCGAATGCCCCCCAGACTTCCCCGTGAATCCAATCACGTGCGTGCATTCGGTTCGGACGGACACTGCCCTGTCATTAGTCAGATACCGTGCACTCGCTAAAAGGCGTGATAGATACTGCCGACCTCATGAATATTGGTGCGTTCACCAGTCGTAGGTATCAGCGTTCGCCGGGGCCGGGGCGGGCGGTCGGCGTCGGGGTCGGGCCGCGTCCCTGCGCCGGCGGCGGTAACCCTGCCTGGACGGAGCGGCGCCGGCCGGCGCCCCGCGCCTGTACTGGGATCGTCTGTCGCCGGCAGTGGTCGGTCGGCGCTCGGGCGGCGCGGGGGTGCGGCGAGAGCGAGCAGCTGCAGTACACCGCACTGATAGCAAACCGGGATAGGCGGACGGTGGAATAGCGCCCATCGTGCGCCGAGTGCTCTGGTGTGCGAGCGACTCGCTGGGGCGGCAGCCGCGGACCTGCCCGGAATTACCGTGGGTGAGTGATCGTTTGGTGGGATTGCATATTTCTGCACATGAATAGCAGACGATCAAACGAACTGAGCACCGAACGTGCATATGTGCATCAAGTTTATGGCATAGTTGATTCTTCGGCAGAAATGGTTTTGCTTTCTTGCATTGGCATAAACGATGTAACTGCTTTCCTGCCAGGAACCTTTTTGATGCCTCAGTATTTTGTGATTGCTTAGCGAGAAACACACTGGGAGGAAACAACACGACGACCGGAGGAAGGAAGGGCAATGTGGGTAGGTACTGACTAG